ATGTGTATTTTATTGCAGTAAAAGCAAACAGTATTATGACACTGACCTTTAAAATGTCATTTAGAACTAAAAAAATTTAAAAAAATCGTATTTTCTCCCATTTTTTTCATATTAAATTATGTTTCATAGCTAAATATTTGATATTCAATGAAAGACCTGTTTCCCCTGAATAAAATGATATGTAATAAGGGTGGGTGCATTTACTATGAAAGAGGTGAATTACGGTTGGACAGACATGTAGCGCAAATGCCAGGTTTTGTTTACATTTTGTTTTGTTCACAACGTGTACATTTGGCTCCGTCCTTAAGGGGTTAACCCTCAAAGTGAAGTGTCGTCTCATTATTGGGGGAAGGATTTATTGTATGCTATTCCAGTTTGACTGCTAGGAGAGTAAACCTATTCGTATGGTTCCTATTCAACTGTCTACAGCATTCAAATGCTTGAGAGAAGGTATACGCTTCTCTGGTTCGGTGATTGTGGCGTCTGCTGCAGTGCTTGGAGTCCTCAGGAAGCGCTTGGAGCATCTTTCAATGGAGGTACCCAGTCAGGGTGCCAGGCGATCCGTTACACAGTGGTACTCTGACCTGTACTGACTGCGGAGCAGCAAAGAAAGAGGAAATGATGCAATGGGAAGGGGGTTTTATAGTACCTAACTTTTTTCTGATTGGTTGTTTTTCTGTGCTGCTGTGGAGTTCTAGTAAAGAGAGACTAAAGCAAATACGAAGCCTCCTGTCATGTTATAAAATTACCCGTTCGCAACAATGTTGCAACGGGTAATTGAGGACACACTTAACACAGGGGAGGTCTGATTGTTCAGTAGTTTCATTCCCTTAGTTTATTCGAATGATTCTACCGAACAATCAGAGGAATACAATTCTTTTACACACATATAAAATCAGCAGATCACACGAATGCAGTTATTCACAAAACATTTGCAGGACAGCCCAGTGCCATCCGCTACATCCTCCTCAACCTATTTTTATTTAATAGTGACAGTTGTTACGCTACAGCAACAGTCCAGGTTTTGTCAGCATCTCCATTGCAATAGAAAGAAAAAGTACACGAATCCTAGACTGTTGTTAGGCCATGAGGACTGGTTTGGAAATGTTGGAATGTCACTTGGTGACCACTCCATTTAATGGTTTGCACAAACTTGTAAATGTAATACTCTGTATTATAATTATCCTAAATTTGCAATCAAACTTCATAATATTTCTCTTTCCATTTAATGTGGAAAATTCAACTTGAAAATTAAGTCTGATCATTGGAAACTGAGGATTTTTTAATTTAATTTCTCTTGACTGAGTCAATGTTGGCTGCTCGTGAAACCCTATAACTAACAACCTGATGCTTTATAACTTTTTTCCATGATAACCAAGTCTAGTATTGTAATCTAATTTTAGGACAGTCCTGATACCCATGGTTATACTTGTGACAATACGCTGTTGTGACAGATCCCTCTGTCTTGGAACTGTGCTTATAACCCGCTGGGTTCATCTGTTTTTCAGTTAATTGCCTGTCCGTACCCCCCATTCGTTTATTTCCTAAACTCACAAACAAATTGCTAAACGGCCGACCACCCAGCCTGGAAGTGTGCTGCTGGTTAACCTCTTGGCCTCATTAGAACATTGTAGTTAACCGCAGACACCTCCTAATTATCAATGGTATGTCGTTCGTATGCCGACCATGAGGCGGCGGCCATCTTGGACGTACAAATGATCAGCGGTGTTCGTCGATGATTTCCTGGAACAGAAAAACGGACACTATTTCTCCTGAACACCGCTGAAACCGCCGACCTCCCTTCTCTGCCTTCCAGCATACGAATGCCGGTCCGTTCGGTAATTTTCTGCACGAAAGGACTTAACCCAGATAGCCATCCCATGGAGCCCCTTCCTATAATCTGGAAGACAATGTGAAATACTTTGGCTCCATTCGGTAATAATGTGCCCTCAGATCTAAGCTATCTGGGGATACGTTAAATGTGGTTATTCTATTCGTGTAATGTAGAGTTATGTATTTTTATGTATTTTTATTATTATGTACAAAATGGAGTGTAGCCTCTATTCGTGGAGATAATTGGATTACTTCCCAATTATCTCCAGGATAGAGAGGAGGGTTGTTCTCAGCTAAAGTGGAGTGTTTATGCTTGTGCCAATGTGATTGGCTACTGTATCCATATTGTCCCAGTCTTCCATCTGGTCCCCTAGGAGAGTGTCCACCAGGTGGGAGATCTGCATAAATACCGAGCAGTTAGCCCTCAATAAATCAGATCTCTGCCTAACCCTCAATACTGAGCTTGGTCTCGTACTTGGGGGTATTGGATTCGTATAGTTTACTAGTTCGGCTATTTGATACGTGAAGGATTTCGTATGGTTCCTGTTCGGCTGATTGGAGCTTTCGTTAGCTGTCTCTCCATTCAGAAGGTGAACGTCCTCAGTGATATTCACCCCTTTTATACCTGGGTGTACCATAACAGCTGTATTTTTTTATCCTAGTTAATTCCCCTGTGTTTGGTAGATGGATCTACTGAACACCGACCACCCCCGGCTCATTGAACTTCAAAGAAACCACAAACTCAAGTGCTCTCTCTGTGGCCACTGTTCATATAACCAAACAACACGTGCGCTGGAAAATGGCGGCGATCTTGTCTCCCGAAAGCAGGCAGTGGTACCTGGTCGTCGAGTACCTGGAACTCTAGAGCGGACACTTGAACCCACGACCACTGGTGATTTGGTACAAATACCTGCTTCTTCCCACAACAAGCCAGGAGAGTGCTGTTCGGTAGAATTGTTTGCACAAACAAGGCAAACAAGCGCTATCTTTGAGCCAGGGGAACCGTTCAACATTTTGTTCATTTTGGAACTCCCGAAAGTGACCGACCACTACCACTGATTGTTTGGAACTGATTTGGGCAAACTGTGGTCAGTCAAACCTTATCCCGGTTGCGATTCGGCTGTGTTGGTGCGATCTGAGCGCTATTGGAATATGTTGGGTGCTCAGATCCAGGCTATCTGGGGATATAATATTTGTGGAGATTCCTATATATGTTATATGTATGTTGGGGTATTTTATGTTTTATATTTTGTACCTCTAGTGCCTGGGAGATTATTAGTTTAAGCAAAGTACACTAAATTCTACCAGACACAGAGACTCCTGGGCGTGTTTTGGGCGTGTTGTATATATTAGTGGGCCATCTGGCCATAATAAAAACATTCCTGTTGTGCCCTACATCAAGTCTCGACTGATGTTTGGGTATGCAGATGACGAAACAATATATTTGTTCTCACAACCTGCTTGAATTTCTGGAGAGGACGAACTAGTGCACCATGCGAACGGGCTATACTCTCTAGCATTTTGGGAGTGTGCAAATGAACGTACTTCACTTAGTACATGAGGTTCGTTACAATTGGTGGCAGAAGTGGGATCTAACATTCAAATGGACCTCCCAAACAAGGAAAAGCAGTGAATGGCACAGCAGTATGAAAGCCTCAAGCGAACAATGCTGAAATATCTGCTGGGAGCTTGGGGTCAGTTGGCAAGTAACAAAAAGCATTCAGCAATCATAGCCGAACTGATGGAGGTCGACCAAGCCAGCAATGCAGCGGTAATAAGCAGAGAAGAGTCAAAGTTCCAGAGAGATGTGAGATGGTGGCTCAGTATGGTGGGACCAAATCCCCCACAGGAGATGGTTGTCCAAATTATGGAGCAGGTTACAGCGACACAGGCAGCACAGCAGTCCAGAATGGACATATACCCAGGAGATGCAGCATCACTACCGGGATCCAGTAATGGAGGCAGTGGCGGAACTACTGCGGTTGCATGGGTCGCAGTTGCGACCGGACCCATCACTGCAGGGGCCGACTGACTGTGACTGAGATGTAACTGCCAGGACCGCATTGAAGGGGCCCATCGTGTGGCCCATGCTGTTAGGGCCATTTGATGCTGTGTATTTCCTGGGGGCCTAGTCAGCG